TAGAAGGAACAAATAGCCAAAAGTAGACTTCCTGGTGTCTACACATCCAGCATAATCTGAATCTGAATATCCAATCACCTCAAGGTGATCAGATCTCCTAAAGGTGAGCATGTGGTCTTTTGTTCCTTGCAAATACCTTAGTACCTTCTTTGCAGCTTTCCAATGATCTACTCCTGGATTACTTTGATACCTGCCCAGCATTCCGACAGCAAAACTGATGTCTGGTCTGGTACAAGTTTGTGCATAATTCAAACTTCCAACAATAGATTCATAAGGAATGTGTTCCATTTGCTTGCGTTCCAATTCATTCTTTGGACATTGTTTGAGACTAAATCTATCTCCCTTCTGAATTGGAGCGACATTTGCAGAGCATTCAGCCATGTTGTATCTCTCTAGGATCCGGTTAATGTATGATTTCTGAGACAATCCCAACAGTCCTTGTGATCTATCACGAAATATTTCTATTCCAATCACATAGGATGCCTCACCCAAATCCTTCATTTCAAAGTTCTTAGAGAGAAACTCCTTGGTTTGATGTAATAAACCAAGATCATTAGTAGCAAGCAAGATATCGTCAACATACAGAACTAAAATTATAAACTTACTCCCACTAATCTTCAGATATATACATCGATCGACGATGTTCTCCTTAAATCCAAAAGATGTAATGGTATCATTGAACTTAATATACCATTGTCGGGAAGCTTGTTTAAGTCCGTATATTGACTTCTTTAATTTACACACCATATGTTCTTTTCCCTCAACCACAAAACCTTCAGGTTGATCCATATAGACTGCTTCATCTAAATTCCCATTCAGAAAGGCGGTTTTCACATCCATCTGATGGAGCTCTAGATTATAATGAGCTACCATTGCCATGACAATCCTTAAGGAGTCTTTCTTAGAGACGGGTGAAAATGTCTCTTTATAGTCAACACCACTTTTCTGAGTGAAACCTTTGGCAACAAGTCTGGCCCTGTGTCTTTCGATATTGCCATTAGAGTCGTGTTTGGTCTTCCAGACCCATCTATTACCAACTCTTTTACAACCTTCAGGCAAATCAACAAGGTCCCAAACTTCATTTTTATACATAGATTTCATCTCTTCTTTCGCGGCAGCTAACCATTTATCAGAATGCTCACTTTCCATGGCTTGTGAAAATGAAACTGGATCATGATAGAGTCCTAAATCAGATTCTAACTCGTGAAGATAAACCTCATAATCATCAGAAATTGCAGGCCTTCGATTTTTTGTAGACCTTCTTAATGCGATTTCTTGTGGTTCATCTATGTTAGGTTCATTCTCAATAGCAATATTATGTGGTGCTTGATCGTTCATTTGCTGTTCCTGCAAATCGTTATCATGCTCAACATGTGCAGGAGCAACAACTTGAGAAGAGGGTAGAGGCAAGGATATTTGCACTCTAACTTCTTGAATTTCCACATTGCGTGGCTCTAAGCTCCTACTAACTTCACCATTCTCAATGAACCTAGCATTTCCAGTTTCAACAATTCTTGTACTATGGTTAGGGCAATAAAATCGATACCCCTTAGATTTTTCTGGATAACCAATGAAGAAACCACTGATTGTTCGTGAGTCCAGTTTCTTTTCATGTGGATTATATATTCTCACTTCCGCTGGGCAACCCCAAACATGCAGGTGCCTTAAACTGGGTTTCCTTCCCGTCCACAGTTCAAAAGGTGTCTTAGGAACTGCTTTACTAGGAACCCTGTTTAACAAATACACAGCGGTCCTTAAAGCGTGCATTCACAATGATTTGGGTAAAGATGAGTTGCTTAACATGCTCCTAACCATATCCATTAAAGTACGATTCCGCCTTTCTGCAACACCATTTTGTTGCGGTGTTCCTGGCATAGTGTATTGAGCACAAATACCATGTCTTTCTAGGAACTTAGCAAATGGACCAGGGCACTGTCCACTTTCATCATATTTTCCATAATATTCTCCACCTCTATCAGATCTGACAATTTTCACCTTTCTTTCTAATTGCCTCTCAACTTCATTGATAAACACCTCAAGGGTATCTACCGACTGAGATTTTTCATGCAGCAAATAGATATATCCATAACGTGAAAAATCATCGATAAAGGTAATGAAATACTTTTCTCCACCAAGTGATGGAACATCAAAAGGCCCACAAATATCTGTGTGTATAATTTCAAGGAGCTGTGAGCTTCTTGTGGCTGCTTTCTTAAGTGTGTGTTTTGTGTGTTTTCCTTTAATACACTCAACACAAATTCCAAGGTCAGTAAAATCCAAATGAGGAAGGATTTCATTCTTTACTAACCTTTCCATTCTTTCTTTGGATATGTGACCCAACCGTTTATGCCACAAGTAAGCAGAGGATTCATCAAACAAACCACGTTTAATACCAACATTATGATGCAAGGTTAGGAGAGTCTCAGCGAATAGGGTATCAAGCTTTAGTTTGTACAAACCATCAACAAGGGTACCAGAACCCAATAAAGCATTATGTTTGAACAAACTAATAGAACCATTTCCAATGTTCCAAAAATACCCAGCCTTATCTAGTTGAGACATCGAAACCAAATTACGAGAAATAGAAGGAGCATAAAGGGTATTGACAAGGTCCAAATAATGGCCAGTATCTAAAACCAAACGATAAGTCCCAATAGCTTCAACTGGAACTTTGGCTCGGTTTCCCATATAGATGAACTTCTCATTTTGCCTTATGGTTTGGGTCGTAAGGAATCCCTGCATTGTTTTGGAAACATGAATGGTACAACCAGTGTCAACCCACCAAGTATTATAAGGAACCTCAGTTAAATTTGATTCGAAACATACTGAAGCACTAGGCTTACCCTTTCTTTCGAACCATGCCTTTCTTTTCAAGCAATCTTTCTGATAATGTCCGGCTTTCTTACAGAAGCGGCATATATCCTTACTTGGTTCCTTCTTGTGGATTTTGGCAGATGACTCATTAAGCTTTGATAGTCCTTCCTTGACCTTCCCATTCTTGTTCCATGGTTTCTTTCCAGCTCCTTTATGACCAACAAGATTGGCAGAATGATTTCCTGGTTTCTTAAGCCTTGCTTCCTCTTGAATGAGCATGCTTTGTAACTCATGCACATTCCATTTATCCTTTAGAGTATTGTAATGCACATGGAATGTGCCATACTCTGGAGGTAAGGAATTAAGGATGAACGTTACTAGGAAATTTTCATTCACTTCCATTCCCATGGTCTTTAGTCTTGCTGCAATGTTCGTCATTTCGACGATATGCTCATGCATGGTACGAGAACCATCAAACTTCATGGTGGTTAGCGTACCCATCAGTGTCCCAGCAAGCGACTTATCAGCAGACTCAGATTGAGAGCTTTCTTTCACGGAATTCATAAATTCCTTAGCACTTTCAGTATCATTGAAAGTTGACTTAATGTTGTTTGCTACAGTCATTCGCATAAACATTAGGCTTAGTCTGTTAGATCTTTCCCAAGCTTTATGGAAAGACTTTTCCTCAGCACTGCTAGTATCAGTAAGAGCAGCAGGTTTCTCACTTAAGAGTGCCAAATCAAGATCCAGAACACCGAGGTGAAACTGAACCTGTTCAGCCCATTCAGAGAAGTTGAGGCCATTAAACTTAACAACAGACGTGGCTTGCGAATGAAGAGAAACAGGAACAGATGTTGCAAACATATATAACATGTACTCACACATTAATGCTTTGGGTAATAAGCATAAACTATAATACAGATTCGTAAGCATAAACATAAAACATATATTGGTGCTACCTTTGGGCAAAACAACAATATATATGCGATAAATAATCGTAATTGACGCTCAAAATAATCATATAATTGGTGATAGACATACTCAAATTAGATATACTTGCAATCTTTGGATATACTAAATATATCTAACCAAGCACATCAATTTACCACAATAATGTTCATGAATTATAAAACGAGCAATCAACCTTTGGGCGATTCAAAATATTTTATAATCACGAACTTCAACCTTAAAGCATCACGTAAACATTAGTAGTTGAACTTGATTCAACTTGATATCTATAAACCTTCTAATTTGGCCACTTTGGTGACTAACAAATTAATTATAACATAGATATCAAAGATAAAATTTAACTCAAGTCAAAGCAACTGATCAACAAATTAATCATAACATAATTATTATAATAATTACTTAACTGATCAATCATCAAACCTACTGATCAAATTAATTATCAGGGAAACTCAAGCATGTTATCACAAACACAAGAACTTTATCAACCCATCTCATAAATGTATTCAATAATCACATATGCAGCCAATAGATAGCAAGAGGGAGAAACAATTGAATTGGAATTTGACAAACAGTAGCTTAATCAAATAAAAAAATTGGATTGGAAACCCTACAGCCGAAGCATAATGGCGCTTGACAATTGGAAACCCTACAGCCGAAGCATAATGGCTCTCATACGCAGAGCTTGGCAGACAGATGCAGCGGAAATAAAATACGTAAGCGAAAATCATCTATTCATGTAAACCTAAGGCTCTGATACCACATGTAAACATAAATCATAATAGCATGGATCTTAGAATTAGATGATTTCACGAATCGGTAATAGATCAAGGAAACCTACCTCGATCCATGACGAGAGCGGCGGCGACGCTGAAGTAGTAATCACCGGAATTGAGTTTCTCCCTCTTGACCCCTTTAGGTTTTAGGTTTAGAGATTTCTGTGATGGCTAAGAAATTCTACGTAATGGGTTGAGAGAGGACCAATCCTAGGGTTTCTTTATATAGACCCACCATCAGGGTATATTAGGAATTTACCTATCATTAACCTAATCAATATAGGATTTACCTTATATATTAAACCATTAAATGATAATTACACTTGGGCCACAATTATTCCCTAGTCACTTACGGGAATTGGGCTTACACTGATTGCAGCCGTCGTCATCACGACAGTAATTATATCCACCATCACGACGGCGGCCAGCGAAACCCCTGCAGGTTTGTCCTTCAACTTCACGAGCTTCGAGCCGTGCTGCGACCCGTCCGCCGTCAGGCTATACGGCGACGCTCACTGCGCGGATTCCGGCGTCCGGCTCACCGGGTTCAACTACTACGTCTCCGGTCAGGCCAGGTACCCGAAACCGATGCGGTTGTGGGACCGGTCCACTGGCCATCTGGCCAACTTCACCACCGCTTTCACCTTCGCAATCGACAACGACGGCGGCGCCTGGACCTGCGACGGCCTGGCGTTCTTCCTCGCCTCCGCCGACTACGTCGCCCCAACCGGCGACGCCTCCCAGGGCCGGCTGGGGCTGGTGGACGTAAACCACACGTTCAACGCCGCGGCGGCGGACAACCCGTTCGTCGCCGTGGAGTTCGACACCTAAGACAACGAGTGGGACACGTGGAGAAGCGAGAGCCACGTTGGCATTGACGTCAGCTCCATGCGTTCGGTCGTCAGCAAGAGGTGGAAGAGCCACGTGGATGGGACGAGGATGTGGGCGCGGGTGTCGTACGACGGCGGGAAACTGTGTGCACTTTTCACGGGAGTGACGGAGAACTTGACGGACGTTTCTATGGATAGCGTGTGTTATGAGGTGGATTTGAGGAGTTACTTGACGGAGTGGGCGGTGTTTGGGTTCTCTGCTTCGACGGCGTGGAGGTATCAATCTCACACCGTCTACTCTTGGTCCTTCTCCTCAGATTTGGACTCCCATTACGACTAGATCGTGACCATGCTCACGTTAATTAATGTATCACGTTAATTATGGTCGACCTTTGATAGCTATTATTGAGATAAGAGAAGAAGAACACTACATGCATTGATGCATATATGCCCACTTTGATCTAAATTCACACAAATTTCATTTTGTATATCTTCTCAAGAGACTATCGTACAAAATAAGTGAGATGAATACTTACACGGTTAAACACAAAAAAAAAATCTCTTATCTTTTTGGTGCACTATTTGGATTGTAATCTAGGGATCGTTTGCTTCGTGAATTTGAAAAAAAAAAGAATGTTTTGGTATAACTTGAGTTTTGAAAAACCTTGAATATGATAAACACAATTGGTTGTTTGATATATTTCATGATGGATTTTGTTAATTAAAGTTATATGTATGAAGTGTTATTTACCTTTATTGTCCTCAATGATATAAGAAAAGAGAAAATATAACTTGGTAGGTTGGTAAAAAATGATGGCCTTCAAAAGTCCATGATCTATTCTCACCTAAAAAAGTGAGATTTTCAAGTCCGTGGGCTCCAAGGATTTGGACCCCCAATATCGATGAATCCCACGCATTTATTACCTCTAAATACTTGAAACAAACAATGAATTTTGAACAAAGTCCATCATTAAACCAAATCCATCAAGCAAACGACCCCAATGTACACCGAAAGTATCAGAAAGCTAGTTGAACCACAACTGAATTCACCAGACTAAATATATATATATATATATATATATATATATATATATATATATATATATATATATATATATATATATATATCTCTCTTCCATAGTGAGAAGTATGCAAGACAATGCAAATCTTCACTATACATCCGATGCGCGCACTGTGTGATTTGTAATCTTACAGCCGCCAGCATCAAACTCATACAGGGGCGGAGCCAGGATTTAATCATCGGGGGGCTGGAATTTTCTTAATACGTTACAGCAAAAGAGGAAAAACTAGTAATAAAAATTATTTTAAAAACATATTATTATAATTAAAACTCAAAACTTTTTCACATTGAGTTCACTACAAATCATAAAAAAATATAATGACAATAGTCGAATTAGCTAATAACTAGCTTCCAAAAAAGAAAGGAGAGGGCTACTGCTTACCAAAAAGGTAAAAAAATAAAATATATGCTCACCTCAAGAATTGAACCCGTGACCATTTGGTCCTTCTAAATTGCCAATTCCGTTAGGCTAACTCAAATTTCATGTTATAATCTGCACGTTTTGTCTTTTTATTAAATACTTTCTTGTTTATACGTATTATCCTAAACCGTTTACACGTAAGTTCGAGATTCTCAGGGGGGGGGGGGCCGGGGCCCCCTTAGGGCCAATGTAGCTCCGCCCCTGAACTCATATCAAGCTGATTGATTAGGGAGCTAGATGGTTTTTTCACAAACAAGAACATGGCTAGAAATAATTATAACAAGAATTCTTAATAATAATATTTGAATTCACAGATTCTAATTAATTTTGAATGCGTACCCAAGTAAAATGTTAGTGCCACGTCAACATAAACTATTGGGCCCGGCTCATGTGACAGGGAAAAGGCCAACAAGATTGGCGGTGATAATTCAAAAAAAAAAAAAAAAAAAAAAAAGGTGAATGGCAAGCAGATGAAGCAGGTGAACTCCCAACCAAATTCATTAATTTGGTTCCCTCTTCTTTTGCTATAAAAGGAACGTTGAGTTCCCTTTGGAAAGCATCCCATTTTTCCATCTTCATCATTCCTCTTTGCTAGCTCTCGGTTCTATTTCTTTCTTGTGGTTTCGATTGTGAAACGTTTTCACAATCACGGGTAGATATGAGATTTCCTTGTGAGTGAAATAGTGAGGTTGTTTGGGAAACACCGTGTGTTCTATTGCTTGTATCGAGAAAATCTCTGTAACCTATCATTGTTATAGTAAAGAAATACTCCGGAGCTGCTGTTCCCGTGGACTGGCCCAAAATCAGGGTATACCACGTAAATCCTCGGTGTCATTTATTATTATCTATGCTTGTTGCTATTTTGAGAATAGTCGTAGTATATTGCATTATTAAATTACCGAAGTAAATTGATCTAAGTAAGTTGGTTACCGTAATTCTGGAGGCTCTGCCACCAGGTCCAACTTATTTGTGAACTTTTTACAAGCGTGTGATTTCTTAGTGCAATATATTTACCCGCTATTCTCACCCGCTGCGCCCAACAAGTGGTATCAGAGCCACGTCCAATGGAGGCAAAAACAAGCAAGATGATAAGTCTGAATGGCTCCAACTATCACATATGGAGAAACAAGATGAAGGATCTCCTACTCGTGACGGAGTTGCATTTGCCGGTGTTTAGCCCAACTAAACCTGATGGCAAAACTGAAGAGGAATGGGAGTTCAAGCATGAGCAAGTATGTGGCTACATTCGACAGTTCGTCGACGATAATGTATACAACCACATTAGCGGAGAAACTCATGCCAGAACTCTGTGGAACAAGCTGGAGGCACTCTATGCATCAAAGACCGGCAACAACAAATTATTTTATCTGACCAAGTTGGTCCAGATGAAATACAAGGAAGGCAAATCCTTGGCGGATCACTTGAACGAAATTCAAGGGATCGTGGATCAGTTGTCCGGTATGGGCATAAAGATGGAAGATGAGGTGGTCGCTCTCCTCGTTCTGGCTTCCCTTCCAGAATCTTGGGAGACGCTAAAAATTTCACTTACCAACTCTGCGAAAGATGGAGTTATCAACATGGAGATCGTCAAAAGTGGGGTTCTAAATGAAGAGATGCGGAAAAGATCACAAGGTGCATCCTCATCATCTTTCCAGTCAGACCTTTTGGCGGTGGATTTCAGAAGCAGAGGAAGAAGTGAAGCGAGAGGCTCGAAGCAAAGAGGCAAGAGTCGAGGGAAGTCCAACAAGTTTGCCAATATCAATTGTCATCACTGCAAGGAAAAGGGCCACATAAGAAGATTTTGCCCAAAGTTCAGAAACGAGAGAAGGAAGGGCAAACGAGATGAGAACAGTGATGATGATGGTGCAAACTCCGTTGATGAGTTCAATATTGTCTACGAGGAAGATGTTGTCAACCTGACAACACAGGAGACAAGCTGGGTGGTTGATAGTGGTGCTACCATCCACGTGACGTCCAAGAGAGAATTTTTCTCATCTTACACACCAGGTGACTTTGGTGTGGTAAGGATGGGAAATGGCAACCTTTCCAAAGTTATTGGAAAAGGAGAAGTATGCTTGGAGACGATGAATGGTACAAAGCTACTACTGAAGGATGTCAGGCATGTTCCAGAAATGCGCCTGAATCTCATCTCTGTAGACAAGTTGGATGAGGAAGGTTACTGTAACACCTTTCACAATGGCCAGTGGAAACTCACCAGAGGCTCCTTGGTGTTGGCCAAGGGCAAGAAGCTGTCAAAGCTGTATGTGACGGAAGCCAAGATCTCCCCAGAGATTGTCAACTCAGCGGAGAATGGTGACACAATTGAATTGTGGCACAAACGACTCGGTCATATGAGTGAGAAGTCCATGGCAAAGTTAGCCCAGAAGAAAGTCATAGTTGGGTTGGATCATGTTCATCTAAAGAAGTGTGTCGATTGCCTTGCGGGAAAGCAAAACCGAGTTGCTTTCAAAAGTTCCATCCCTTCAAGAGCGAAGAACGTGTTGGATCTAGTTCACTCAGATCTTTGTGAACCCGATGTCAACGTCAAATCACTTGGAGGTGCCAGATATTTCGTGACATTCATTGATGATCATTCACGGAAGACTTGGGTGTATACCTTGAAGACCAAGGATCAGGCCCTAGACGTTTTCAAGCAATTCCTGGCCCTGGTGGAGAGGGAAACTGGCAAGAAGCTGAAGTGCATCCGGACTGACAATGGTGGAGAGTACAGAGGCCCGTTTGCTACCTTCTGCAAGGAACATGGAATTCGGCAGCAATTCACACCACCAAAGACGCCGCAATTGAATGGGCTAGCTGAAAGGATGAACAGGACCCTGCTAGAGAGAGTCAGGTGCTTGTTATCACACTCGAAGCTACCACAATCTTTCTGGGGGGAGGCACTGCTTGCAGCAGTTTACGTGTGGAACAGGTCACCCAGTGTGCCACTGAAGTATGACGCCCCAGAGAAGGTGTGGACTGGAAAAGAAGTTTCCTACAAACATTTGCGGGTGTTTGGTTGCAAGGCCTTTGTCCATATTCCAAAAGATGAAAGGTCAAAGTTGGATTCAAAGACGCGACCGTGCGTATTCATTGGCTATGGTCAAAATGAGTTTGGCTATAGATTCTTTGATCCAATCCAGAAGAAGCTTATCAGAAGCCGTGATGCTGTGTTCATCGAGAATGAGACCATCGAAGATGTTGTTGCTAGGAAAGAAATTCCTAGTACTGATGCTAGTCAGCCAAACCTTGAGCTAGTGCCTCCAACACCAGCGCCTACAGAAGTTGGAGAAGAAGCACAACATGATCAGCCTGAGATAGTTGAACCATATGCCCATGTGGAGGTTCAACCAGAAGATGCTGATGACGATGGTCAACCACCAGCCATAGAAGGTTCTCCTGTTCGAACAACAAGATCTGGTAGAATTTCACGACCGTCTACCAGATATCCCGAGACTGAATACGTCTCACTTACTGACGGCGGAGAACCAGAAAGCTTCACAGAAGCTATGAATGATGAACACAAGCAAAGGTGGATAGAAGCCATGCAAGACGAGATGGATTCCTTGTATGAGAACAACACATTTGAGCTGGTGAAGTTGCCAAAAGGAAAGAGAGCTTTGAAGAACAAGTGGGTGTTCAAGATCAAACATGATGAACACAACCGTCAGCCACGCTTCAAAGCCAGACTAGTTGTGAAAGGCTTCAGTCAAAGGAAAGGCATTGACTTTGACGAGATATTTTCACCTGTGGTGAAAATGACATCCATTCGTACTGTGCTGGGACTAGCAGCAAGTCTTAACCTGGAGGTTGAGCAAATGGATGTGAAGACTGCCTTCCTTCATGGTGATTTGGAGGAAGAGATTTACATGGAGCAACCAGAAGGCTTCAAGAAGAAAAACAAGGAGGGCTATGTGTGCAGGCTCAGAAAGAGCTTGTATGGCTTGAAGCAGGCACCAAGGCAATGGTACAAGAAGTTTGAGTCTGTTATGGGGGAGCAAGGCTATAAGAAGACTACTTCAGACCACTGCGTGTTCGTGAAGAAATTTCCTGATGGAGATTTCATCATACTTTTGCTCTATGTGGATGATATGCTAATTGTTGGGCAGAACGTCTCAAAGATCAATGATTTGAAGAAGGAGTTGAGCAAGTCTTTTGCCATGAAAGACTTGGGACCAGCAAAGCAGATTCTTGGCGTGAGGATCATTCGGGATCGAGGTGCCAAGAAGATATGGTTGTCACAAGAGAAGTACATTGAGAAAGTACTTCAACGTTTCAACATGGATAATGCTAAGGCTGTTAGCTGTCCTCTTGCTAACCACTTTACATTAACATCCAAACAGAGCCCGTCTACTGAGAAGGAAAAGGCGGAGATGGATAAAATTCCATATGCTTCAGCAGTGGGAAGTTTGATGTACGCCATGGTGTGTACAAGGCCAGATATTGCTCATGCAGTTGGAGTTGTTAGTCGGTTTCTTTCCAAACCAGGAAAGGAACATTGGGAAGCTGTGAAGTGGATCCTCAGATACCTTCGAGGTAGCTCCAAAATGAGTCTATGTTTTGGAGATGGTGAACCTGTCCTTGTTGGCTATACAGATGCTGACATGGCAGGTGATGTTGATTCGAGGAGGTCCACTTCTGGGTACCTGATTACCTTATCAGGGGGAGCAATATCGTGGCAGTCAAGGCTACAAAAGTGTGTAGCTCTTTCCACAACAGAAGCTGAGTATATAGCAGTAACGGAAGCATGCAAGGAGATGATATGGATGAAGAAGTTCCTGAATGAACTTGGGTTCCTACAGGAACAACCGCAGCTGTTCTGTGACAGTCAAAGTGCTATTCATCTTGCGAAGAATGCATCATTTCATGCTCGATCAAAACATATTGATGTTCGATATCACTGGATACGAGATGTGCTTGAAATGAAGCAGTTACAACTAGAGAAGATCCATACTGACGAAAATGGATCTGACATGTGTACCAAGACTCTTCCAAGAGAAAAGTTGGAGTTCTGTCGATCAGCTGCAGGGATGACGACGTCACCCATGTAGTCGGGCGGGGGAGAATTATTGGGCCCGGCTCATGTGGCAGGGAAAAGGCCAACAAGATTGGCGGTGATAATTCAAAAAAAAAAAAAAAGGTGAATGGCAAGCAGATGAAGCAGGTGAACTCCCAACCAAATTCATTAATTTGGTTCCCTCTTCTTTTGCTATAAAAGGGACGTTGAGTTCCCTTTGGAAAGCATCCCATTTTTCCATCTTCATCATTCCTCTTTGCTAGCTCTCGGTTCTATTTCTTTCTTGTGGTTTCGATTGTGAAACGTTTTCACAATCACGGGTAGATATGAGATTTCCTTGTGAGTGAAATAGTGAGGTTGTTTGGGAAACACCGTGTGTTCTATTGCTTGTATCGAGAAAATCTCTGTAACCTATCATTGTTATAGTAAAGAAATACTCCGGAGCTGCTGTTCCCGTGGACTGGCCCAAAATCAGGGTATACCACGTAAATCCTCGGTGTCATTTATTATTATCTATGCTTGTTGCTATTTTGAGAATAGTCGTAGTATATTGCATTATTAAATTACCGAAGTAAATTGATCTAAGTAAGTTGGTTACCGTAATTCTGGAGGCTCTGCCACCAGGTCCAACTTATTTGTGAACTTTTTACAAGCGTGTGATTTCTTAGTGCAATATATTTACCCGCTATTCTCACCCGCTGCGCCCAACATAAACGACATTTGTCCTCGTCGGTCAAGGGATGAAAGCACATTTGTTGGAACGTCCACTGCTTCATTTTCTTCTCCCACGATAGTAACGCCGCTTGCAACTCTCTTAATAGCTTTTATCTCTTTTAGTTGATGACGCCAACGCTTTGCATGCACTATGGTAGAACGACGCTGTAACAACAGATTGTCCACTTTGTTCTTCTTCACTGCAGCTACTAGACTGATTATAAAGAATTGTTGCCGGAAAGGCAGCAGCGCATCCTTTGTAAACGAAATTTCGTAGTTTCGGAGCTAGCATTATTGATTTCAACGACATCGAGCGGAGGGTAATCCAAACATGAATCTCCCCGAATCGGACCCCAAGTGAACAAGTAGACTTCTCGAAGCTTGCTGTTATATATTCACGATCTTCAGCTCGTGTATCCGACAAAGGCGTACCAGCCTAAGTGACTCCAGAGAAGGCGACTCGAAGATCAACTTGTTAAGTTCTTTGTCGGTGAATTAGGACATGCTACCTAAAACAAACAAAAAACAAAAACGATATTCATCAATTCGCATCAAAATATGCGTCATCAAAAATCAAAATATGCTACCTAGCTAGGGTTTCTTCTACTGCTACTACTACTACGGGACTATACCTAAGTACAAAATTGCTGTAAACTCAGTTCTAACGTCTAGACTCGCTTAGATCGTCACTTGATCACTATAAACTACAATGCTACACGCTTAAGTCGTTAATCGAGATCAAAACATCTATTTGTTTAAGCAATTGGGTTGTGAGTTAACTGTTTAAATTAAGGTCTGAACCAAATTGACTCATTTTACATGCGTTTTTAAAATACGTGCGTATAATATTATTTTTATTAGTTCGGACTAAGATTTAAGAATGTGCAAGGTTTAAACCATGCATTTGTGGTCTTATCTAGTGCCTATATGACGGCTAAGTGTGTATATATAGACATTGAAAGCGAACATAGTTGTTTTTAGTAGAATTAGAAATAAGCAATTTTGTTCTTAGGTTCCAATGATTCATAAATTCGCTAACCCTTGATAACAAACAAAAACATGTCATGATTTTTTTTAGAATCACAAGTTCATAGAAAGTGGTGAATCAAAATATGTCCAAAATTAGTAAAAGCAAAGTTGATATTGTCAAAGAGGAGAAGAATAATGATTTAGAATGTGGTGAATTAGGAGTTAGCTAGGACTCGTAGCTCGTGGATGTTGGGCGCTGGCAGTCAGCAATGACATAGAGTATTAAGGGTAGAAGGTAGAGCAATTCTACTATGCTATATAGTATTGGTGCTTTAATGTACAACTTAAAGTTGTACCATAACATTGAATGTATAAGTTTAGGTTGTACCATAAAGCAATTTGTACCATTATGTTATGGTACAACTTTACAACTTGAAGTTGTACCATCACATAAAGGTACAAGTTCAAGTTGTACCATAAAAGAATTTGTACAAAAAGTATAGGTACAATCTGAAATTGTACCATAACGTAAATGTATAATTTTAAGTTGTACCATAAAGGCAAAATCCTATAGCACAAATACTATATAGCATTGTAAAATTTCTCGTAGAAGGTAAGGTCAAAAGATAATGGAGTGACAATGAAAATTTGTGATTCCAAATTGAGGGAAGGACCGAAGGACACATCGAGGGTAATTTGAGATGAAATAGTTTTGGGAAGGTAGCTACCCCTTGATCCACTAGTTGCGCTTAAGCACGCCTCTTATTTCCTAATTTTGTCTCACAACACTTAATCACGATACCGCTTATCTCTGTCTCGACGTTATGAGGGCACTTTCTTGCTGGTTAGGGCCCGCCTAGTGTTTAGTCTTCGTCCAGTGCCTAGACGCAAGCAAAATTGTGTTTCTTAGACCATAATTCAAACAATAAGCTCCTTCTAATAGATTGCGATACATGATATTAGTATCCGATTCAATACTTATTAAAAATGTATTACAAGAAACTACGTATTTTGTCAGGAACTCGGGCCATGTTCGTTTAGTTCTACTTTCTAGTAGTATAAGAAGAATAGACAAACCGAATCACACTCCAATTTCATCAGGAACCCTCGTAACCCAATAATTTCAGTATTGAGTCATTGTGAGAACCATGGAAACACGAAAGCAGCAAATTCCAGTTTGGATTCCAATGAACTTTTCCTTTCAGTATTTAATCGTAACTTGAAGATACTCCAATGCAAAACTGAATGCCCCTACCAATGCAAAACTGGCTGAGCAACGGAAGGCTCGATCGCTCGTCATTACCGGTACTCAAACGTAATTTTTACCCTTATCCCTTACCGTCCTCTGCATTTAAGTTGCATGCTATAAATTTTAATTTTGACGTCAACCAAACAACCACTCTTACTCTTTTTCGGTTGAAGAAGACAGTTGATGCGTCCAATATCGCCAAACTATCCTTCAAAGAAGTTGTTCGACAACATAGGGTTCCTAAATCTATCACCTCTGACCGTGATACTAAGTTTTTTAACCACTTTTGGCTAACGTTGTGGCGTATGTTTGGCACTACCTTAAACCGCAGCTAACCGAAGTCACTAACCGGAGGTTGGGTAAGTTGATTCGCAGCGTTTGTGGAGATAAACTCAAGCAGTGGGATCTGGCCCTGCCCCAGGTTGAGTTCGCCTATAATAGCGCGGTGCATTCCGCAACGGGAAAGTCTCCTTTTGTTGTTGTTTACACTACACCGCTCCTGACACGTCGTCGATCTCATGGCTCTTCCCAAAGTCCCTGGTGTGAGTTCAGTTGCTGAACATATGGCGCGTGATGTTATGACCGTCAAGGATGCTGTTAAGGCCAAGCTCGAGGCCACCGATCAAAAGAACAAGGTTGTTGCTAACACGAATCGCGTTCCAAGGTATTTGTGGCAGGAGATGAAGTGATGGTTTTCTTGCGGAAAGAGCAGTTTCCTGTTGGCTCTTATTCTAAGTTGCAGCCTCGCAAGTATGGTCCTTTCAAGGTGCTCAAGCGCATCAACGACAATGGCTATGTCATTGACTTACCGCCTACTAGGAATATCTCCAACACTTTTAATGTCGCTGACATTTATGAGTTTCATGAGGATGGTGTGCTTTGTCCCGATACGAACTCGTGGTCGAGTTCTTCATGGGTGGTGGAGACTGATGCATGAAATGAGCTTGAAGACAAGAGAAGGGAGGATGTTCGGGTCGAGAGGGAGCTGGCGAGGGTCGTCGAGCAGTTTACGTAGAGGTGAAGGTCGCATGGCCCGCACACAAGAAGGAGAAAGATTGTTTATTTAGGAGTCATTTGGAATTTGTGAATGTTAAATCGTTACATGTAATGAATCACCATAATATAAATGCATGTATTGATACAATGGATGCATTTTAACAATACATTGTTTGGTTGTTGAGATTCTACTTTATGCATTGATTTACATAAAATTACTTTTATAGGGCAATGTCATATTTATTCTCAACTTTTAGTATATATATGACAAAAACTATTAGGGATATAAACGGAAAAAAAAGGTTGACACAAATCTAAAAGCAACAATCACAACTTTTAGTTGAGATTGTATAATGCATCATTTTTGTGATTGTTGATGGGACCTACCTAAAACAATACATGCATTGTTTTACATTTTGGCACTTCCAAACATTGTATTATGCACAATACATATATTCAACAAACACAACTCGAACAATTACAACTTCCAAACGACCCCTTAGTTTGTTGTTTACGTATTGCTTTTTCTAGACACTTTTGGTTTTGGTTTTGGTTTTGGCTTTGGCTATTTAAAGGCCTTATGTATGTTTGGGTTACACACTTCACACTTTTGATTAATTAACCCTAAGGGTCGTCATTCTCTGTGGATTCCGAAAGCTTTTCTTCCAAGTTTGCGCTTGCAAGCTTGCTTTGTTAACTGGAGACGAGTGTTTGCGAGTCTCAAGGTTTTCCGACTACGTCACACTCACACACACAGGTTTCGGATTCTCCCGCTGGCCAGGAGTTTGTAGTAACCCACACAAACCACATATATGGCAGCAAATAGAAGATTGTTGGTTAAGAACATGCAAGAGACTAGGTTCTGGCGTGGATTGCTGTATTTGCAAAAGGGCTGACGTGGATAGAGTGGAAATCAGAAGGTGTTTTAATTATTTTAAATATAAAGATGTTTAATAAACCCTACTCTACCGACCGATCGTACCGGAAACAACAAATATCATACTCAAATTGATAAACAACTTTAGCTATATCGGACCAGACGATTATATCGAAAATAAAACGAACTCAAATTGATGAACGATTGTAGCAATAGGAAATAGTTTAAGTACAATCCTCTCTTGCTAACAGTATGGTAAATGTATTGAAGTTAGCTGCCGCATAGGCCCATCTAGGGGTGGGCAACGATTCGATTCACATCGGGTCGAATCGACTGTCACACCGAATCAAATCAAACTGTTTATCTTTCGATTCGACTTTGGTTCCTGAGTTTGGGACATTTTCGGTTTTGGTACGGTCCATATCGAAACCGTAAAATCAAGTTAAGGACCGAACTGAATCGTAATTAAATTAATTGCCTATTTTATTAGGCTCTGAGAAGGCAAGTCGACTTGGAGTTGAAAACCCTAGTACCCTACACAACACTTACGACTTAACTACCTATAAAAATGATTTGACTTTCCCTGACTTTGACTCGCCGCTCCCGCTCCTATAGTCCTACCCTCAAATCAGAGCTCTCATCCGCGTTGCTTCGATCAAGAGGCTGCTTACTTTACCTACACAGTGAGAAGATGCGAATAATTGACACCAGAGAGGCTTCTGCCAAGTCTGACACCACCACTGCAAATTAGCAAGGTTAAAAACCATTTGTTTTTATTGCATTAGTTCTTGGAGTAAGTGTCACTTTGTTAAACTCCTTTCTAATGCCTTATATCAAGTGCTTATACGGCAGAAGAGAGGCTTTCTAATGAATAGTGGACATTCTAGAGATTGGGCGGTCCAACGTGCACTATGGAAATGAAAATGAAAGATTAGAGAGGCAATTAGTTAGACTACCTTTGAAATTGAATAAAAAGACTTTTGTCTTTTAGTTAGTTAAGTAGTTCTCGTTTATCTTTTTGCATAATATTTTGGAACATGGTGTTTTTAAGAATTGTGGAGTATTTAAACTGGAATAATTTGATTACTTTTTTTCGTGTAGTTACATTTTTTTTTAATTCTTGTGTTGTCCTTTAAGAGTGATTTTATTCGAATGAAAGAGTAGTCGGTCCAATGGGATGGTCCAGACCGAATCGAGCCATATATGGTTTGATCCAAACCGAATCGAAGTAATAATGATTCGACTTTGGTCCTTGATTTAGAAAAAAATTTGGTTCGGTTCGAGAATAGTTTGGTCCGGTCTTGAACCGAATCGATTGATATTCAGCTTTAATATATCGGATTCTTGGACTTTATGTGATTATCCTATGGTATGTTTTAGCCAATTGGTGCTATTTTAGGGCTCCCTAACCTGAGAATGGTTGAAAAACCATTACTGCCTAGTGCCATGAGTTTGATATGTTACAGGTGGAGAAAGCACGAAAAAGGAGAAATTGCACAAGCAATCAATCGGGCTCTAATCATTGGTGGAATATTCACTTGGGCTAGGAGGAGCAGTGGGCTGGAAGTGACTCGACTGGGCTGGGAAATTATGGCCCGGAGTCCCTTAACATGGAGGCGAATTGGAAACGAGACCAAGAGGGGAATTATTTTTTGGGCCGGGCCAATTACTGAGGAGAGCTGGCGGCCTTGAAGAGGAAATTAACTGGAGGGAATTTCTCTGGGGAAAAGAACGAGAAGGGCGGACTACTATTCCTGGGGGTCATTTTGGATTTAATTGGACACGGAAGCTGGAGGCAGAGGAAGTCTCTGGCGGCGAAAATCTCTGGGAGAAAAGAGCAGCGCAGCGACGAGGGGACGACAGCAGCAGCGTGCAAAAAAATTCTGTTCGGAGAGCTCGGCGATCACGAGCATTCGATCAGTTTATCTGAGTATTTTCGTTCCTTTATTTTAATTAGTGACATGATGATTATGTACATGATTGTGTGTTTTAATTTCGTCATGAACTAAACCCCGATTTCTGGGGGAAACACCATAGGATGTAGCTAGTTCTTGATTTGATGGATTGATTCATGATTCTTTTCTTCCAATCTCTATTGCATGGAATTGCTTAATGCTTCGTGTTAACTGGCCACCAATACAATGAATCGTAGTTAATTAGGTTATTAGCGACAGTGAAACCCTAATAACTGAACCTGTTTCATGCGACATAGTAACTTATCGAAGCGACGGTGGATTAAATAAGGTACTATGCAGTCATGATTGTGATATCGTTCTTCAGGCTAAATAGTTAATTCATTGAGCTACGACAGTAGGATTTGAATTGATTATTTAGTACGTAGTAATTCCCGACAGGGATAGCTAACACAGTAGTGATATCCTGGCTGTAGAGATATGGATTAAATTGATTGGAATATGCGAATTAATCTGGATAGGATAGGTAGTGAATCCCGGTGTTTCTCCCAGAGCTTTCTCCCATTGAATTTCCCCCGACCAATTTACTTTGCTTAATTAGTTTAATTATTTTGCTTTTAGATAATTAGTCTCATTAAACCATTGTCACCTATAGTTTGCTCTATTAAATTGGTAAATCTTAAGGTTGTACCAGTCCCTGAGAGACGATACCCGGACTTTCCGGTTTACTACAAGATAGGAATTGAAGCTATACGCTTTTCCCCTATCATCGATCGATGCCCACACCTAAGCCCATCCCAAAACACGTTCTACTCTTTCACTCAGCAATCAGCACCTAACCAAGCCTCCAACCAAACAATTTTCTTCCTGTTTTGCATTTCTGCATATTCTGGTTTATATTTCATCACTAGAAAGAGAACACTTGAAAATAATGCCCATAAAATCGTGTTTCAAAACTTAAAATCTCACCTTTTATACTTTTAGGTTACCTAAACACTTTTACGTAGAATCACACTTTTCCCTTACAATTGTAATCAAAATATATGTTTTAAAGTTTAAAAAATTATATTTTTACACTTCTAAATCACCCAATTACTTTTACATAGAATCACGATTTTCATGCTTCAAAATATTATTATACACATGAAAAATTCAAAACGTACACGCCTCTTTATTCTTTGGCTTTCATAGTCACATAATAAATACAGAATGTATCAGGCTTTCATAGTCCAGAACCCAACTCACTGGCTGATTATTTCGTCTCTACTGAGTCTGAGACAACTATGCAACGCAAGGCAATTCGAATTATCATTATACATCCCAATGCACACTACAATCTCACAGCCGCCATCAACAATCTGCAGCAAACCCAGATCGAGCTGGATCAACTACGGGGATGGCTTCTTGACGACAAGAACAGGGCATTTCGCATTGTGCACACAGTAGTTGCTAACGCTTCCCAAGAACGCCCTGCCAAGCCCACCAATCACCACAGATCCACCATTACTACAAAACCCAACCACCGCAGCACAAAACACACTGCGAATAATAACAAGTCCATAAGAGAACTTACCTCTGAATAGGTCCCCTGCTATGGCTTCCCAGCACAAGCAATTTGACACCATGCTTCTCCGCTGCTTCACATATCACTTCTTTCGGCTCCCCCACCTTTGTCTCTGTTTCTGCTTCAACCTGAGATTAATTGAATAACACGATCGCATCACATCGAGTAATATGGAGAAAGAAAGGAAAAGATTTGTTAGTTAGTGTTACCCCATGGGCAGAGCAAATTTGTTTGGCTTTATCCAACAGAGCCGTAGTCAACTTCTTCTGATTCTCCTGTAGCGAGGCGACCAACTCCGGGGCTACAACAGCATCATCGTGGAATCAATTGATCATCGGGAAGATGGAGGGGGGAATCAACGAATTACTACTTGAATTATCAAAGTTGAATCATTCAGAGAACTTACGAGTGGTACCGAGAGTGGAAGCATGGAGGTAGGTGAAGTCGGCGAGGGGCTGAGCGGTGAAGAGGAGAATACCAGAGCTGGAGATGGTGTCTCCCATATTGGTGAGAGCCCATTCGAGTGCGTAGTGGCTGAACTCGCTCTCGTCTATCGCCACCATCACCTTCTTCTTGCTTCCTCCCTCCATTTCTGTCTCTCTTCTCTGTTTTCCTCTGTTTTCTCTCTGCTTCCCGCTTTACTTCTCTGCCGATCACGAGACTTATCCCACGAAGAGATGCTTAAAAGACCTTTATTTATGGTTTCTAACCACCATCAATCATCTCCCATCTTCTGGAAGAGGATAGAAAGGTCAATCTAGCTTTTGGAGGTACACATAATCTTATAAGTTTTGGGACCGCCGACAACATCTCATGATGAATAATTGGGGTTTGTGACTTTTGTCACATGATTAAATTAGATTCAGCCTTCAGGAAACTTTTTATGGGGGATTCTGATGAATGGAGCTGAAGGGTAATTTCAGAAAAGAGAAAAGGTTTGGTCTTTCAGAGACAAGGATAGGAAGCCACCTTTACCATCGTCGAAAAAGTTGCTTGATCCATCGCAGCGTAGCTCGCTAGAGAATGGGGGTGTTCGTCGGAAAAAAATTGGTTGTGGACAGAACTGGAAGTTGGTAGCTTTTAGATACTAGAACAATCATTTCTACACAGAGATATGAATATATATGATCACTCCAAACAGCCCAATTTTTAACACCAGAATCACATTTTTACATATTACAACAGTTGTAAGGATTTTCCTGTCTTCCAGAAAGACCAGAACATAGGGCTCGTGTAGAAAACAGTGACAAATAAGGGCGTTAGCCCTCTATATCTTAGTCGGCTTGTGAACGCAGCGGCAGAAATCAAGTGGCCATTTCTCAGCAATATTGAGAATACAGTTCCAGAAGTATCAACAATCAAATTCTGTGATCTGCCTTCTCACCTTCCCCTCAGTTGCAAAAAGTGAGGGGGTCAATTGGACTCCTCATGGCGAAGGAATTGAACGAATTTAGACCTCACGTCTGCAGGAATTCGAACAGGCCGATAATTCTTATCCAGCCATACAGCTGTGGCTTTCGCTTCCAAAACAGGCTGCAAATTTACGTTCCATCAAGCCAAAGTTTGATGAATCGAGTACATCAGAAATGGCAGAGCAGATAAGAGAATTCACCTCGTTATTCGGCAACTTGAAGATGAAGTGCTCAAAATATAACCGGGCAGCAGAAGAGTCCGATACTCTCACTCTTACCACAAACCTCTCTCCACTCTGGTAATTTCATGGGGGAAAAGCAGCAGTAAGAAAAGGCCATGGAAGTACATTCATTTGACTTGTTAAAAAAGAAACACTTGCTTCATTTGCATTCGCAGCATCTTCTTTTATCCAGAGAAAGTTTCCTTGATAGCATTTCATATGTAAGGATTGCACAATTGATTTTCATACCATTAAGTTCAGCATTGTTATCCCCAATCCAACAGCAAAGTAGAGAGTAATATGTAAAATTTCAAATCAACCAACTTACCCTTAGAGGTGCAAGAAATTTGAGATTCAATTCAGAGAGTGCCAATGCATCACCAGTTCGAGCTACCGCATCTGCACTTATACCAATGCTCTCTAACAGTTCATGACGACCTGGCATCACGATGTAAACGTAATAAAGGGCAGGCTGTTATTTGGAAGTTCTAGGTTAACAAGTCATGAAAACACCAACAACATAGCCTCATCTAGGAGCAACTAAGCAAGGAATCCAGTTAAGCAATCCTTCCACCATACACAAAAGCCGCAGATCAATGAACAATTACTAGAAAATCCTGAAAGGGTTGGATTTACCATGTTGGCAGTAACTGGCATAAACGGCATTGTTGACCACTCCATATTGATCCAGTTCGTAGTCTCTCACTTTCAGCTCCAAATCATGGAATCCAGCCATCCTGTTAATGATTACCCACAATCAGCTGAATTTCACCTCAATTGAAAAGAGAAAAGCCCATATGATCGAACAGTGCATCTAACCTAGAAGTAACAAAAGAAAGGCAGAATTGAAGGTTTCTATAAAAAGTACCCTTTTCCACCTTTGAAATCGAAAAGTGATGAGATAGTAGTACTGCTGCTGCTGTGGTTCGTGGCGGTGGACAATGTTCGTGACTGCAAACGCGAGGCCGGCAGCAACGGAAACGAGGGCGGCGGCCGGCGGAGATTAAACGATGCCGTAATGTGGTGTGAGGGACGGAACATCGGCTGCAGCTTCGCGGTGGGTAGGGCGCCCGGAGACAGCATTACGACTTGGGAGGAGGAACGAGTTGAAGAAGCTGGATAAGGGAAACCGCTGCTGATTGCGAGGCTCATCTCGAATTCTTATCGATTAGTTAGAGGCAAAATTGGCGCCTCCATTGCGGTGGTTGCTGAATGCTCTGGGGGCGGAAAATGCGAGGAAGAGAAGAACCAGGCGAGTGAAAGCAACAGACTGCGGCGATTGTGAGTTGGGGCGATTGTGAGTTGGGTCGATAAATCACGGGCTTGCCATGGGCCTGTGTTTTTACTTTCAGTGTTGGACCGTGTTAGTCCATTTTGTTATGTCCTGAGACTGAAAATTTTCCAGCATGGATGATTTTTTAGGAATTTTTCCAAATGCTCCGGTTACTAAAAAAAATTCTACAATATCACACCTATACTAAAATTTATCAAAATATTTTCCCGATTCTTTTATATTATCATGGCCCTACTCATCTCATGGCTTTGATTGCTTAATTTATTTCAAGGTTGAAATAATAGGAGTATATAGGTGGTTAAAATTGAAAGTAAGATGGCAAAGGCTATCTACGGATAACTAGATTTGAGCCCGCCCGTTGGTCGGATGAATTTCGTTAATAGACCATAGAAATTATCCGACGCAAGAAATATTTTATTTTATACCATAAAAATTTCGAATCATTTAGTAACTGGAGACAATATCATACTCGTATAATATTTGAAAATGCTAAACCAATTTATTGCTAAAGTCCTTATTGCAAGTAAAAAACAAAACCATGCAAGAAAATCTACTCCTAAAAATGTAATCAAACCACACTATTTGCTCTTCGAATTAACAAATTATTGCAAATATCTTTTTAGATTTCGTGTGATTGCTCTGTCCTCTAAAGCACCATCATATCTACAAATTATAATGCATTTGTCTTTCTTTGCGAAACCTTTATCTTCACACTAAACATTACACTGTAGAATTTACGTCACATGAACATTTTATGATATTTATTCTTCCCCGTGCTGATAAACAACCCAACAACCAACACAAATATTCATACTCTTTATATTGAAAACTTAATGAATAAACTTAGGGATTGACCACTCTCCAATAGATATGTTGCTTTTTTTTCTTATAAATATGCAGATTTTATTGCTCAATTTGTATATAATAAATTAAGTGGGGAGTATCATGATCATTCTAAGTTAACTTTATGAAGATTGAGAGCTTTGTCAAAGTCCAGTCAGCAAGGCGAGAACCAAAAATTGATGGTGGGGATGTAATTAGGAATTGTCGTATAGATAGGGTATCATTATATAAGAATTGATAGTGCATGAACGCTACTGTACATGATGCCATAGGATTAGATGTGGACATCGGTCGATTCAGTACAGAACCTGATCGAATTGATACATAACCGAACCAAAAACAAAGGAAAAAAGGACCAAAACCGGACCAAAAGCATGCTTGGTTTATTTTGTTCGATTTAGTCCATCCCAAATTCAATTTGGGTCCATGTTTCTTCATACTTAAAATAATTCATAGGATCAAAACCAAATCAAAATATATTCGATCCGATATGATTCGATCCAAATATCAATTCAGTACGATTTAGTCTAGTGCGAACCGGATCGTTACCCACCCCTAGATAGGATGCTAGAATAACATATCTTCCAAAATATGTCAAAAATGAAGGTTTTGTCTTCAATTCGGTCACTTTTTGGGTACATGCTATGCACTCGCCTCATAACCGTCATTGTGAGCAGGTGATTCATGTCAAACTGATGTCAATCATTACTCGTGATATGATGGACAAAAATACACATGAATTTGCACAAAAATTATTCAATATTTACTTTGATTTGAAGGATTCCGGGTTTCGGAATTTAGCGTTAGGGTTTACAATTTAGAGTTAAAGGTTAGGTTTCAAAATTGAAAGTTATCATCGTATCTGGCTAACGACACCAATTAAAATAAAATTCGATGTCTTATATCTACTTTTAGAGTTAGGTATATATTATGCACTCATTTTTGTAAGTGCACAATAGAAGCCACCCAAAATAAATAACATTCTTTATAGTATAATTAGTTTGATTTTCAGTCAAAATTTATAAACTAAATTTTGAACAAATGAAATATGATTAATTAGAAACCGAAAAGGGAGTGATTATGCACGTTGAACTATACACCTAAAATTTTTAATAAAGTAACAATAAGCTATTTTACCTAAATGGATACAATAAAATATAGCTGCTAATAATTTTAATAAATATATATAAAGAAATTTTTCTATCTTTCATACCATCGATTGTTCTATTTTAAAAAACGAAATATTCAGTTTGTGTCTATACATTTTCGTACAAATTTCTTTATAGTACAAACTCAGCTTGTACCTTTAATATTATGATACATACTTAATTTGTATTTATATCTCTACATACAAATTCATTTATGACAACACAAAATCGTGTATCTTTAACACTATAATATGGTTGGCAGTTATGATATAAATCAAATGTATCTACAAACACTAATTCTTTGAAGTATAGTAAATTAGCTTATAAATAACATAACACATTAATTAAACTGGATTCCTATTCAATGCCCTAACTTTTTAAAATTTAACGTTCTAAATAATTAAACTGGCAATTCTACCCCAATCCCTAAACCGCCCCCAATTCCCAAAATCGGTCGCCCTAACTTTTTTTTTATCTCTCAAGGACGGTTGCCTCTGTCTCTCCGAACGACTGCATAGCCGACAATTTCCCCGGATAAAATCAATAGTCCCTGAACAACAGCGAGCGAGCGGATCTTATTTGCTCTTTTCCCGTCGTCGCCATCACCATCCTCATCACCATCGTCGTTGTTCCATTCCCCGTCGTCGCCATCACAATCCTCATCACCATCGTCGTTGTTCCAAACGGAAAATGCTCCCTTTCCCTCTCTTGATTCTCCCAACTGTTGTTGTTACTTACTACTACTACAGATCCCAAAAGTCACCGCCGAACCATCGCCCTTAATCCCGCCGCACCCAGATCCGAATCCCATCGGTCGCCGACAAAATTATCTCTGTTGCTGCTCCACCCGTCGTCGTTGAGGATGAGGTGCCCGTCGCTGTTGAGGAAGGAGAGAGAAGGCCCCGCCGCACCCAGAGTGGCAAATCATGCTGCTGCTCCGCCCTGTCACCGTTGAGGATGGAGACGCCTGTCGCTGTTGAGGAAGGAGAGAGAAGGCCCAAGCGGATTGGAGCTATGACCAAGACTCCCAACCGGCAAAGACTTCCTCGAACGAAGGCGGCGAAGACGTTAATTCTAGGACGAAGGTTTTGGGGGGATTGGAGCGACGGTGACGACTTCCAGCCGGCAAAGACTTCCACGGACGAAGACGGCGTTATTCTAGGGCGAATTTTTTTTAGGGATTTGGAATTTTGAGGGGCAAAAAGGTCAAATTGCCAAGTTAGGGCGACAAATTTTAAAAAACTTAGGGCGTTAATTAGTACCTCTCTAATTAAATAGGGAGCTTTAATTCTTTTAGTGGGAGTCCCTGTCCTAATTTTTTAATTAATAGGTTGAGGGTTTTAACTTATAAGCCCAAATGACCAAAGAATCCTCCCTTCCTATGCGGACTGCGGAGAAGCTAGGAAAAAATCAATTAGATGGGTTCTCAACACGAACCTCTATATATTATTTTTAGGAAGTATGTTATATGGATAGATGTGGCAATTCTCAATCCAATCCATCAATCTATTAAAATATCAACCTAATTCAATCCATTTAAATCCAATCCATTTGATCCAAATCCAATTAGATTTGTGGATTCATGGATCCAAATAATAAATTATATTTTGGTACCTATAATTTTTATATTTTGGTACCCAAAATTTAATTTTTTATACGAAAAATATCATTGGAAAATTACGTTTTGATACCTAATTTTTTTCATTACGACATTTTAGTACCTAAACTTTTCACATTTTACATAATGGTCATTGGTTGAGAATGTCATTTGGATTCATGGATAATCCACCAATCCACTTGATCCAATCCATGAATCCACCAATTCATTGGATCTAAACCATTTGATCCATGGATCCACCAATCCAATCCACCAATCCATGGATTCAATCCATTTGCCACCTCTATATATGGACATCTGTATTCACACTTATTAGTTGTATTTTAATTTATTTTGTTGAATTAAAAGTGTTGATTATTGTTCTTATTAAATTGATTTAATAGTTTGGTTTAGATAATTATGATTCAGGATCTATCAATTAGAGATTATAATATTATATTATATCTTATTCTATATTTAATTCATTATCTAAATAGCAAACTCACTTAATCTACAGTAAATTAGCGTACGTCACAAATACGCTACCCTTAATGGTATTTTAGGATTGATGAAAGATGGCTTGAGAAAGAGGAGTGCAAAGAGATTGTTTCTCGAGCCTGGGACCCGGGAGGTCAATCGTCTGCCCAACTGAGCAAATGCGAAAGAGATTTAAAGGAGTGGTCAAAGGAATTCCACAAAATCAGTGTGCAAAGAGAGCAAGATATCATTAACCAGCTCAAGATTCTACAACACCCTCCCAGAGCGCAGGAGAATGTAGAGGAAGAGAAGAAGCTCACGGTGGAACTGACGAAGATTTGGAAGGATGAAGAATCCTTTTGGAATCAATGCTCGCGAGTGAATTGGCTTAAAAAAGGTGATCAAAATACCTCCTTTTTCACTCTAGCACGATCCATAGGAAGCATAGAAACAAAATTCTGAGAATGAAGGATGATGGAGGGAATTGGATTGAGGATGAGAATAGGCTTAAAGGTCTTTCTGTAGAGTTTTACAAGGAGCTCTTTAGAGCTCGAAACCCAATCCCGTTCAACCATCTCCTTGATGGATTTCCGGAAAAAGTAACTTCCGAAATGAACGAAGAACTTTGTGCTCCGGTAACCAATGAGGAAATTAGAAAAGCGGTCTTTTCCTTGGGAGCTAGGAAAGCTCCGGGACCGGATGGATTCTCGGGGAGAATCTACCGGAGATACTGGGATCTTATTGGAGACACAATTTGCAGAGAAGTGAAGGCGTTTTTCGACTCGGCTGTTATGCCGGAGGGTTGGAATGATACTCATATCGCCATGATACCAAAGGTTGACAATCCTGAGATGATGAGCCAGTTCCGCCCTATTAGTTGCTGTAATTTTAGATACAAAATCATATCTA